TGTAAAGATAATAAATGGAACGTGGCCGACAGATACTATTCAGTACATTTTCTTAGGGTGAGTAAGGGTAGATCAGGGGAGGAGGGGGCGGAGAGAGTGTTACAGAAGAAAGAAAATAAGTAACCCTGATGGTTTAAGCCCTTTATAAAAAAGAAATGGCATCAAGGGTTTTTTCTCCACAACCCCCCCCTCCCCTTTGTAGTCAAGTGCATTTTAGCCACAAAGATCCCAACAAGAGAGTGGAAGGAAACTTAGACGGGGCTTTGTTTGACTCCGTGTAGCGACAACAAGAGAAACAAAACTACCTATTTGTAACGGACGTGCTGCCATTGCTCTCCGCATTGAGCGCCTACCTATTGAAATCTTTACGTCGGGACAATGGGAGAGCGGCTAAAATTACCCTCTTGGGTCCTGGGCGGGCAGGATTCCTGAGCCCTTACCCCCGCCCCCATCCCATCCTCCTCCAGCCCTAGCCTTGCTGGGCTCCCCCGTCCCCAGTCCCGGCCGCCTTCCTCTTGCCTCCACTGCCTGCACCTGTGCCTGGCGAGCACCACCCCTGCCCCCAAGGCCTAGGGCCCCCTCGGAGCGCAGCCCCAACCCGGGCGGCCCCGGCCAGGCGGCCACCACGGGAGAAGTCACTGGAGGAAATGCCAGGGCTGGTTCTGCTGGAGTCCTGGGAACTCTGCGTGGGAGGGAGTTTGTGAGTGCGGCCCAAGCCACCTCCACACAGTGCGGTGGGATGCCAGGAAGTTGAGATTCCCCTCCCCCATAGCCCGCACTTCTGAGCGCCCTTCTGTGGATCTCTTTCTTCGCCCAGCCCCGTTTTGCAACCCGCACAAGTGAAATCCCTCCTTGAGGGAGGCTCGGGAGGAGAATGGGGAGAGGACGAGAACACGAGCATCCCCTTTGCACCGACTGAATGGAGAAAGACTGGTGGGCGATGTGGCTGGGGGTAAGGGGACAGGCTGTGGGTCCCCGCGCCAGAGAGCCGGGCCGGGCGGCAGCTCACCCAGGCCCGGCCTGGCCTCGGCTCTCGAGTCGGCCGCAGAGGCCGAGCAGGATTTATTTTAACAGCAGAGCAAACTACGTGGAAGCAGGGAGCGTTCTGAGGACAGAGCTTTCCGTGTCCTAACTTCTCGTCGGGGCAGAGTGAGAAGGGGGCGAGCGAGGGCCGGGCCCTGCGGAGGAAGAGGGGCGAGGGCCAGAGCGGGGTGAGGGAGAAGCAGCCGAGGGCCGGCGTGGGGGCAGCGTGCGGAGGAGCGGGAGAACAATGACACACCAACGCCAGCGCGGCCCGTTTCCTGAAATACTAGTAGGACAGTCGCCCAGAACCACCCACTCGGCCCTGCCCTGCCCCCACCCCGTAGCTGCTTCTCGCGCCCCTTCCTCATTTCAGCAGCCCGCACCAGAAAGTAAATCCACATTAAGTTTAAGGAAGAAAAAAATCGTAGTCTTAGTGCTGTTTACCCACTTCCTTCGAAAAGGCGTGTGGTGTGACCTGTTGCTGCGAGAGGGGATACAAAGGTTTCTCAGTGGCTGGCAGGCTGGCTGTGGGAGCCGCCTCCCCCTCCCCTGCCCTCCCCGCCTCCCCCTCCCCGCGTCCCCCGCCTCCCCCGCGCGCCCGGCGGCGCGGCAGGCCCCGCCCCCTTTCATGCAAAACCCGGCGGCGAGGCCGGGCTCGAGTGGAGGAGCCGCCGCGCGCTGATTGGTCGCCGGAAACCCATTTATTCCCTGACAGCCCCCGTCACATGGATGGTTGTCTATTAACTTGTTCAAAAAAGTATCAGGAGTTGTCAAGGCAGAGAAGAGAGTGTTTGCAAAAGGGGGAAAGTAGTTTGCTGCCTCTTTAAGACTAGGACTGAGAGAAAGAAGAGGAGAGAGAAAGAAAGGGAGAGAAGTTTGAGCCCCAGGCTTAAGCCTTTCCAAAAAATAATAATAACAATCATCGGCGGCGGCGGGATCGGCCAGAAGAGGAGGAAGCGCTTTTTTTGATCCTGATTCCAGTTTGCCTCTCTCTCTCTTTTCTTCCCCCAAACTATTCTTCGTCTGATTTTCCTCGCGGAGCCCTGCGCTCCCGACACCCCCGCCCGCCTCCCCTCCTCCGCTCCCCCCGCCCGCGGGCCCCCCAAAGTCCCGGCCGGGCCGAGGGTCGGCGGCCGCCGGCGGGCCGGGCCCGCGCACAGCGCCCGCATGTACAACATGATGGAGACGGAGCTCAAGCCGCCGGGCCCGCAGCAAACTTCGGGGGGCGGCGGCGGCGGCGGCGGCAACTCCACCGCGGCGGCGGCGGGCGGCAACCAGAAGAACAGCCCGGACCGCGTCAAGCGGCCCATGAACGCCTTCATGGTGTGGTCCCGCGGGCAGCGGCGCAAGATGGCCCAAGAGAACCCCAAGATGCACAACTCGGAGATCAGCAAGCGCCTGGGCGCCGAGTGGAAACTTTTGTCGGAGACGGAGAAGCGGCCGTTCATCGACGAGGCCAAGCGGCTGCGAGCGCTGCACATGAAGGAGCACCCGGATTATAAATACCGGCCCCGGCGGAAAACCAAGACGCTCATGAAGAAGGATAAGTACACGCTGCCTGGCGGGCTGCTGGCCCCCGGCGGCAACAGCATGGCGAGCGGGGTCGGGGTGGGCGCCGGCCTCGGCGCGGGCGTGAACCAGCGCATGGACAGCTACGCGCACATGAACGGCTGGAGCAACGGCAGCTACAGCATGATGCAGGACCAGCTGGGCTACCCGCAGCACCCGGGCCTCAACGCGCACGGCGCCGCGCAGATGCAGCCCATGCACCGCTACGACGTGAGCGCCCTGCAGTACAACTCCATGACCAGCTCGCAGACCTACATGAACGGCTCGCCCACTTACAGCATGTCCTACTCGCAGCAGGGCACCCCGGGCATGGCGCTCGGCTCCATGGGCTCGGTGGTCAAGTCCGAGGCCAGCTCCAGCCCCCCCGTGGTTACCTCTTCCTCCCACTCCAGGGCGCCCTGCCAGGCCGGGGACCTCCGGGACATGATCAGCATGTACCTCCCCGGCGCCGAGGTGCCGGAGCCCGCCGCCCCCAGCAGACTTCACATGTCCCAGCACTACCAGAGCGGCCCGGTGCCCGGCACGGCCATTAACGGCACACTGCCCCTCTCGCACATGTGAGGGCCGGACAGTGAACTGGAGGTGGGGGAGAAATTTTCAAAGAAAAACGAGGGAAATAGGAGGAGAGTAAGAAACAGCATGGAGAAAAACCCGGTACGCTAAAAAAAAAAAAAAAAAAAAAAGTCATCACCCACAGCAAATGACAGCTGCAACAGAGAACACCAATCCCATCCACGCTCACGCAAAAACCGCGATGCCGACAAGAAAACTTTTATGAGAGATCCTGGACTTCTTTTTGGGGGACTATTTTTGTACAGAGAAAACCGGGGGGGTGGGGTGGGGAGGGCGAGGGAATGGACCTTGTATAGATCTGGAGGAAAGAAAGCTACGCAAAACTTTTTAAAAGTTCTAGTGATACGGTAGGAGCTTTGCAGAAAGTTTGCAAAAGTCTTTACCAATAATATTTAGAGCTAGTCTCCAAGCGACGAAAAAAATGTTTTAATATTTGCAAGCAACTTTTGTACAGTATTTATCGAGATAAACATGGCAATCAAAATGTCCATTGTTTATAAGCTGAGAATTTGCCAATATTTTTCAAGGAGAGGCTTCTTGCTGAATTTTGATTCTGCAGCTGAAATTTAGGACAGTTGCAAACGTGGAAAGAAGAAAATTATTCAGATTTGGACATTTTAATTGATTAAAAATTGTACAAAAGGAAAAAATTAGAATAAGCACTGGCAAAACCATCTCCGTGGTCTTCTTTAAAGGGGCAAAAGTTTTAGATTGTACTAAATTTTTTTTTAACTTACTGTTAAAAGCAAAAATGGCCTGCAGGTTGACACCATTGGTAATTTATAATAGCTTTTGTTTCCCAACTTTCCATTTTGTTCAGATAAAAAAAAACAACATGAAATTACTGTGTTTGAAATATTTTCTTATGGTTTGTAATATTTCTGTAAATTTATTGTGATATTTTAAGGTTTTCCCCTTTATTTTCCGTAGTTGTATTTTAAAGATTCGGCTCTGTATTATTTGAATCAGTCTGCCGAGAATCCATGTATATATTTGAACTAATACCATCCTTATAACAGGTACATTTTCAACTTAAGTTTTTACTCCATTATGCACAGTTTGAGATAAATAAATTTTTGAAATATGGACACTGAAATTATGCTTGAGTCTTTCATTTATTTGGATAACATTGATTATACATAACTTCTCGGGAATATACTGTGCTCAGCCAAGAAAGCCAAAAAGCTAAAACCTTGGTATTCTAGTCCAGCAGCATGTGCTAATGTTAACTGCAACAAATAAATGGCTGGATGATTAATTGAATAAGTACTCTCGGAAAAAGTGAAATGCTTATGTCATTTCTAAAATAGAAACTAGAGACATATATTGTAAATCCACCCCCTCCTTTCCTAAGCAGCGTGAATAAGCATGATGGGGACTTAAACTGATTTATGCCACTTGTTGCCAGAAAGGAGTCAATTCTGAAAATTTTCGTGTAACTTAGCAGATGGGGTATTGAGCCAAATCAGAACCAGGTTGGCTGGTTTTGTTTTCGTTTTCTTCACAGCACAATGGCCCCTTGGAAACCTGGTTATAGGGGAAAATGATGCTTCTTGTATCGGAATAATTGCAAACTAGACATGCAAAGTGCTCATCTGCTGGGTGGGTGTTTGGATTACTCCGGCCCTGCTATTGTCTGAAAGGAAACAAGTGGTTTGCTTTCTTTGTTCCTTGACTTTATAAACTTTCTCCTCTACATTTTCCTGTTTAGGGGCGAGGGAAAGCAAAGAGCGTCTTGCAAAACTTCCCGACTTATCAAGGCTATTTTTATTATTATTATTTATTTTCTTTTTTCCTCTCTCTCCCTCCACGAATTCCATTTCTTAAATTGGCAGCGCGGGTCCAAGCCTGTAGCCCCAAATCGGATAATCTGTGCAGCTGATAACAAGCAAAAGAGAAGCCAGGCAACAGCCATATTACAGAAGAAAACAATCAACTCTGAGGTAGATATTTTACTTTGTCCGGTCTAATCACATTTGGAGATGATTATGCTTTTGATCTGTTAATCATGTTTTACTACAGTAGTAGAGAAGTAGTGGGAGGGGGGAAGGGGTGGAGAAACCAGATTGGATTTGCTGTTTTCTTTTGCCCTCGGAAAGGTAAAGAAAGACCATAGCTGTCCTCAGTGGGAGCGGGAAATTTGGGGTAATCGCCACGGTCTTTGAATTAGCGATGTTTCTCCATCACAACCGACCCGCGCTTTGGCGCTGCCGGAGAATCTGTAAGACCGACTTCAGGGACTTTTTCTTCCTTATTTACTACTTACCGCGCTCATCTTCCCCCACCGAAGGGGACCAGGAACCAAGAGTCAGGCATTCTAAACGGCGTGGGTTTGCTTCCCACAATTTCAAGGGCTTGTTGTGTCAACTTGCTACAACTTTGGAGAAGTTGGAATCCGGCAGCCTTCCGCCCTTCAGTCAAGCACCGGCTGCAGCCACCCGGTTAGCTCATCCCCTTGGTTTGCATCTTCTCGTTTTCCGAGAAAGTATTTCTTTCTCGTGGTGTGGCTAATGATAGTTCTGGGCTCAGCTGATAGCCTCATATTTTCTGTATTTTTATTTCATGTGGATTGCTTTATTTTAGGTGTTTATTGGTTTTTATTTATTCCTTTTTTATCCTCATTTTAGGGTAATATTGTACTGGGAAAGGACAGTTATTATGCCAGTTCCCAATTCTAAGCGAGGCATTTCCCCCCCTAATTAATGCAGAGACTCTAAAAGAATTTCCCCCGGCCTGGCCAGCCATTGTAATGCATATACGGATTATTCACGTGGTAATGAGCACATTCGCTAGTTCTTGCTCACACATACGAATAAAAGAAACTTTGAATAAAGATCCAAATGATCTTGCTGGGGGTGGGGAGGATATTCCCGGAATTTGAGCCAATCAACTATATGGAGTGTATATATTTGAAAAATAGAGATATATAAGAAATATGTATTGGGGTTTAGAATAATTGCACTGCACTAACCTCTCTAAAAAAAAAAAAAGCCCACAGGATCAGACTAAAAAAGCAAGAACTTTTTGGCAAAATGCTCAGGTTCAAATATTTTGCAAGAGAGAAGAGAGCAATATTTTGGAAAGTTGAACTAGTTTTGAATGATTGTCACTGTCTGCATAAAACAAGAGAACTCCCATTCCCCCTCCTATCCCTCCATATCTGTTAACCAAATGAAAGCCAAAATATTTTGTTTGCAAATATAAATTCTTTTGATAAACTGCATTTGAGGAAAATGATACATATTTCATCATTCATTTGATTGGGTTAAATGGTTCCTCAAGAGGTGTAGTTTCATGACTAGATTAATATTGAACATATCATATTTTAATTATAATGTGATTTCCAAGAAGGGGGTAAACCCACAAACTTGCCCAGAGATGGTTATCTCCTGGTGCTGAAGTTAGTTGTTGAGTGTTCAGTTCCTTCCTCTGGATCTTATTCTACTCACTAAAACCATTCAATTTCCAGTCAAAGGGGTGAATTTAATGTTTTGTTAACCTTATACACAGACCAGAAATCTGCAGAAGGATAAGATTATAGTTGGTTCCCTCTGCAATTTTTCTCTCCCCTCATCCCCCCCCCCCCCGCAATTCTTTAAATAAAGAGCGTTAAAATATTTTGCTGAGCTGTAGTAGATTAGCAAGGTTTCTTGCCAATGCTGGGAAGCTGGTATTACAGATGGTCCCAGGGGAAAATGGCTCACATTAACCACTAAATGAATATTTGACAAGGGCTCATTCGGAGGTATTATTACTATAAACGTGTCCCTACTGGACTTTTCAAGGGTCAAAGAGCAACACTTCAATTAATTATTTAGTCTTCTAGTAGATTTGGTTGTAATAGCTATACTTATTTCTAGAACTGACACATTCTTACAGTAGGAAATCTCAGGAGAATCTTCTCCATCAGCAATGCCTTGGATTGAAATATACACAGATCGCTGGCATTCTAAAGCTGACTTTTTTATAACACCTTTTCCTGGGCTGGGAGGGGGGGAATTATAGTCTCTTTTTCTATTTCATTTAATGTTTTTGGTTTAAAAGAAAAAAACAGAAAATAATAAGTTATCTTAATTTCTACATCATGTCTGGCAAGGTCTTTTAGGGTCTTGCAATTTGGGGAAAGAGGGGAGGGGATTTATTTATAACCTTTGCTTTTTCTAAGGGGAGATGTCACAGGATTTCAGAGACTCAGGCAGGCCCTGAATTTAGAAAGGGTACACATTTCTGTTTGCCAATAAAATTCAGGTTTTAAAATGGAAGGCTCTGTAGCCTGAGTACTCTGAGTTGTAGTAGTCTCAGAGTAAATTGGGGTACAAGATAGTCCCTCCTCCCTTCCCCACCTATTGGTCTGAACACTTCCAGGTGTAGTGGGGGGTGGTGGCGAGTGTTCCATTTCTGCCGTGTCATAAGTTCCTCCATGGCCCTAGGTAAATGGTAAGGGAATGATTTTGAGAGCAAGATTCCTTGATGATAATACAAGGTGAATGAATAAGAGATAAGCTGTAAGGAGTCGGGGGACGAGATGCAGTAATTACAAACCCAATTCATTCAGCTTTTCAGAACTTTTGTTGTGGGAGCTCCATTGACGGGTTTTGAGCTGCCAGTTTTCTCACATTAAAAAGAACTGATCAGCGCCTCAGGGGGACAAGAAATACCGCTTAACTGCATAGTGATGGGGTCTTCATTTAGAACCTTTACAAGAAGAAAATTAAACAGTGCCTTTGTGTGCACAAGGTTTACTTTTCAACTGCTAACAGTTTATAGCTAACTGCTCCGAGATGGAAGTTTGACTATGGTTTGATCGCCTGCTAGTTGGCACTGCTTATTTATTTATTTATTGTAATTAAAAGACCTTTTTATATCCTCCCCGCCCCCCTTTTATTTTTTGCTCTTGGAGAATTTTGCAAAACAGGTCCTCATATTTTGCTTTGTGGAAGGTGTTTCCTTTGCCCTGAGCTTTAGCAGAGACTTGAGTTAACCTTCTCCAACACCCCCCTCCCACCCCATTATTGCCTTAAAATAATTTACATCTCACTCTGTTTTTTATGCTGCTCTTTCCTTGCTTTCAGAGCAATGGCTGCTTTTCAGGACAGCCACAAGTGAGGTTGGGGATGGGGGTTGATTTATTTCTTATCTTTGCTTTCTTTTTTTCACAAAAGTTGGAAGATGGCTGGGTAGATTTCCTCAGGGACCTGTCTATGAGGTGGGTCCCTTAAAGACAGGAGGAGGAGGAGAAACTTTTGACCTTTACTGTGAAAATATGGATAAAGTCCAAAAGGATGCAGCCTCTGGAGTTCTCGAGTAACTGAACTCGGTGGAAGGAGCTTTCCAAAGACAGGGAAATGGCCCAAACCAGAGAATTGGTTTGGTGTCTTTCATAGTTATTTTCCATTAAAAACTTTCCTGAAAACCTGACCTCTGATATCACTCAGTGAGACTTGTAATCTCTTTCCCTCCTCATGATACAGTCCAGTTTTACAATTCTTGTTTTCAGTTTTTATGTTTTGCTTCCATGGCCTTTAGGAAACAATGGACTTGACTTTCTTATTTTGACTAAGAGACTTCTTTTTAGGAGAGTGGGTTACTAAAGGCAAGGCCAAGATTTCCCATGGCAGAGAGTGCTCTTTCTGTATGCGATGCGGGTCTAGGCAGATTTTATTTTATATTTTGGTGTAATGGTGATATTTCTGAGTCCTTGAGCGGTGTACTCAGTCTCTCTTCAAAAGCAAATAGAACGTCCTCTCATTTCAGGACGCAAAGATGTTTGTTGCTTTGGGGCTTTCGGAGTTGAGATGCTTGCTCTACTTTGCAAAGAAGTGTCAGGTGATTTAAAAGCTCCAAGGAGTCATTCGTTTCACTACCCTCGTCTGCCTGCATGTGCAGAATCAAGTGTGCACTGTTAGTAAAGATTTCGGCGCTTTGAACTATCACTTGCCTCCCTCTCTGGGCTTCGGTGCGGGGCGCGGCGCGGGGCTGTGAGCGCGCGGGCCTCCCACCCGCCCGCCCGCGCTGGGGAGCGCGCGGCGCCCAGCGCCAGGAGCGGATGCGCGGGCAGATGGGAGCTGAGGCGGGCAAGCGCCGGGCCAGGGACCTGACGTCACCGCGGCCCTGGCCACGACCCCCATGGGGCTCCCTGGGAAGGTGTTGCGTGGGGCTCGAGTTCTCTCCTCCCGGATCCTACCAAAACGGCCCGATTTCCTCTCTCAGCCCTGGGCAGTCCCGCGTTGGGCAAGTCTGCCAAGTCTCCCGAGGTGTTGCGGGGCCTCGCCTCTCCAGAACCCTCTACCTCCTGCACCCCAGCCCCTGCCCTCTCCACGTTGACCTCGTGACCCCGAAGATGGTTCTAGGCCCCAAATTCCCTAAATCAGAGATTGTCCTACCCAAGTCCTACCTTCCTGTTGCCTCTCACCCCAGGCCTTTACTTTTAAGGAGCTGTTTGTCTCTGGTGCCCAGGCTCAGCATTAGTAATTTCGCACTTAGTCCTTCCTGATGCCAGAGGCTGCGGACTGGCATGGCTGTGGGAAGCTACAGGAGCGATCTGAGCTCCCTGGAATATTGGGAGCCCTGATCCCCTCTAGGATCAGAGCAGGTAGGGTTGGGAGGATGCAGACCCTTCACTTTCCCATTCCTAAAATAGGGATAATATATATTTACCGCGCAGAAGATGAGTACGAAGCCATTGGCACAAAATAGGATTAATTGACAGCTATTACTTTTCTTACTGTCCAGAGGAATTAGGTGGTAGGGAAGGCAAGAGATTCTCGTTTTAGCCTCCAGAGATTAATACAGAAATTCGGGTCCTTCCTCTCCTTTCTGGTCTTGGGCGGTGAAATTAGCCTTGTTCAGACCACCCTTCGTCCTTTTCTAGTGCTCTTCCTAGCCTAGGGTTCGCCTAGGAAGTTATCCTGCTAACTTGCCATCCCTGGGCATCTTCCTGAAG